CCCAGCTGCACCTGTTCCACGGGGGACTTGTGCATTAGTGTCCTTCTTTTCTTTTCTTTTTTTCTTTCGGCTTGGCACAGATCGTCTGGGAGACACAGCAGGCCGACGGTGAAAGAAACAAGATGATGGTTTATCTGTCATAGGGCAAGATCTCAACCGTCATGAAATTAAACAGGACCAAGGCCATATTTTTGGTTACAAAGCACGGAGTAAGGGACAGATATCGACGGAAGAAGGGAAAGGGGGGAGGAGGCAGAGGGCAGCGGGCATCACCGACCGCGGCTGTTTCCAGTGTACAAGTCAGTACGTTGACCTGCTTGATGCGAACAAAGACAACAAACTCAGGGGACAAAAAGACAGCATCTGTCTTGCCGTCTATAAAAGAAGAAGAAGAAAGAGGTGATGCAACGTACGGAAAAGAGATATCAAAATAGATTGACCAGCTGTGGCCTGGCCAGGCCGTGGACTACAAAAATTCGCTGGTGGCGCGGGTGGTTGGTGATTGTCGGACAAATTCAATGTCAACGAAACACGGACGTTGCGTTCTTCCTCTCCTTCTTTTTCTTCGTACCCCCTATAGTCATCCCCCGCGGCTGCATTCCTTTGTGTCTTTCAGCACTATTGTTTTATCTTCTTTATTTTCTTTTTTTTTACCCTTTGTTTCTTGGTCCGTAACCCTTTCAATATGGCGTGAAAATAAACAAGACATCGACTATCCCGTCTGTGGTCCTGGCCGCAGCTGAAACGAGGTGCAGCTGTTGTAGGCCTGGGAATGGCTCACTGGGATTTTCCCTGTCTGACTGACGATTTTTGCGCCTGCACTTCTCCCAGCTTGCCCCCGAGACCGTCGCGGGAGGGCTTATGCAGCTCCAGCCTGCCTACGCTCCGTATGCAGGGCCACTCACCTCTGGGACCACCTCACTACGGGGAGTACTGGGCACCGTTGGTCCCAAGGGACGGAGAGAGGGGGATGGCAAAGAGGGAAGAGAAACCGAGCGCGAATGCACAGCGGCTACGCACCTTGCCTCTGGCTGCATACGACAGGGCAGTCCCTGCGTGTTGTAGCCGGTTTCTGGGCGGATGCTAAGTCTTTGGGGCCAGTCTCTGGTGTCCGTTCTTTTGACGCCGCATTTCGTCACCGTTTGAAAACTGCCGTTTCTCCCTGCGTGCTGGGGACACGCTGACAGCCAGCCTGCAGTAGTCGTATAAACGGTGCGTGCACTCCGCTGGAAAGACCTTCCAAGGCGCCCGGTTTCGTTGTTTCTTTCCTGGGTCAAAGGCAAGGGGGTCGCCAACCTATGTCCTGGATCAGTTTTCACTTTTTTTATTCGATTTTCGATGTTTTTCGATTTTCATGATTTTCATGATTTTCGATTATATTTACTTCTTCCGCCTTGTTCCCGTGGCCGGCTGGCTCTTGCTGCTGCCGATCAGGGACCGTCACTACCGCGATGGTAATTTTCTGTTTTTATGGGGATTTTGTGAGACATTCCTATCTTACAAACAACACAGGCCTGGCCTCCGACAAAAAGCGGTGGGTGATTGCCAGCATCGCGCTATCGCCTCGCCTCGCTTCGTTTATCTACAAATGTAACGAGTCATTAGTTGTTTGCTTTCTTTGTCCTGGGGCAAGACATACTACGACATACTCGTACTGCTCTACTCCATTAATTGAATCTATGATTTCCCATGTTTTGGTTCTGTTCGTTCTTCTCAGCTTTCGTTTAATTTTTCTCTTTTTTTTTCTATCCTTGCCCGTCTTCGTCGTTTGTTGTTGCCTTTTGATAACTCTCCCAAACACATACCACTGGACCAACCCAGTGATCGACAGTGGTCACATCAGCCCAACATCCCCTTCCCCTCTCGTACTCACCCCCAGTCAACTCAACCACAGCTACTCTGGAAAGGGTTGCTGCTCCGGAAGGGAGACCGGGGACGTAACCGCGTGACGAGGATCAAAAGAAAACATAAAAATGATATGAGACAGGGAAGAACAAGACTCCTTGTCAACTTGCTCTGTCGCTTCTGCTTTCCTTCTTTCGTGTTCCAGGATTGGAATTGCCGATTCCCTTCTTCCTTTCCCGCCCGACGCCCCATTGCGTGCTTCTGTTTTTCTTTTGTCTGTCCGCCTCTTTTGCCGTGTCTCTCACCAGGTGTTGCTCTTATTCCCGTTGCCGCATCCCGTCCCGCCGAGTCAAGGGGGGAGGGAGCGGAAGACGACACGAAAATGCAAGGAAGGAAACCGAACGTTTAAAACGACGTCTCCGTGTTCTAGGTGTTCTAGAAACGTCACGGAGCACAAAAGCGGGAATCGACTAAGACAACGTACGACCATCTAACGTTCTACGGGCGTGGATGGCACAAAATAAAGGCCTCCGTGCCAGCCGCTTGGCCTGGTCATGCCGTGATCGTTGTTGCATGTACGACGTTGTTGCTCCGTATTACATTGTGTTTTTGTTTTCTCTCGTGCTCCCGTGCTCCCGTGCTCCCGTTCCCCCGTTCCCCCGTTCTCCGTACAAAGTGGATGGTGTACGGTCCATCTGTGCTTGTCCGTCCAGTGGCGGGACACGTGCTACGGCGTACAGGGCTTTTCGTTTGCTTCATGGTCTCTCGTCTCTCGTCTCTCGTATTTGTGATACGTGTGCCGTTGTCGTACTCTTTGTGCTACAGACGGCTCAACGAAAGAGAATCAAATTAAAGGATTGGATTGCTTCCTACGCCGCGGGCACAGATGGCGAAGGTCCTACAGAGAAAATTCGTTCATTTGTTTCATTCCTTTGCTATCTGTTGGCTGGAATATTTTATGTTGTTTGGACTTTTCCGTCCAACGTCTTTTCGTCTTCTGGCCCTCGCCCAGACAGGTGAAAGGAACCATAGACGGCAGTGAGTGGACAACGCAAAGAGCGGTGTCAACTGAATTAGCAAAGTGGAAAGCGCCAAAAAAGTAAACAAAATTCAAGATAAACAGGTATCTTACATGAGTGTCAACACTCAACAATTTGCTCCGACGTACTCCGTACTTGGTCCTCCGTCCACCTCCCACCCGAACAAAAGCGCCCGATAGTACGAACCCCTCACTCTCTCTCTTCCCTCATGGTATTTTCTCAAACAAGAAAATAAAAGCATCCAATCACCGGCCACCACGTCTCGAAGAACCCACACCCACAACAACGACGACAACAAAAAAAGAGGGCGTTGCAGTGGGGGTGACCTTGGAAGTCTGTCGATTATTTCGCCTATGCTTCTTTGGTTGGCGCTACCATGGTTCTTTTTGTTTATCGTTTGTTCTCGCCTTTCGCCTTCTCGCCTCCTGTTGAATTCACCGACACTCTTTTGCTCCGTAATGCATATTATTGCCCAATAGGCACGGCCGCCGTGTCCCGTTGCCGACCTAGTTTGCCCGGCCTGGCGCCACTCTCCCACACTCTCAGCATGCCGTAATCGAACAACGCACAACTGGGTCTCCGTCACCGCACACACACTTGCTTGGTGGAGGCACAACGGCAACGTACGCCGTATTGCATGCCATAAAGGTCAAGCTTGAGAAGAACTGCAGTCCCCAGGCTGCGTCCTGCACGGCATCCCCCGCGCCTCGCTGTGTTTTCTGCTTGCCCAGACGTATTACTGCGTCGAGGCAAATTATATTTGTATTTTTTTTTTTAATTTTTAATTTTTAATTTTTGTTTCCGCCTCAACCAAACCTACTTTCTCCTTTTTCTGTGGGCGGCACCTTTTCCTGCTGCCGACTCTGGTTTATTTTCTGATTCGCTCGGGCCACGCTGTGGTCCAGAAGGACTCCTCATTTTGTGTTGTGTGTCCTTTGTGCATGGCGGACCGTTTTCCCTGGAGCGCAATGCAGTGTCGGCGCCTATCTTTCAGCGCGTTTGGGCGTGTGGGATGCGGGCACATTGACGGAGCGTTGCAACAGGTGTGGGCATTGGTCTCTGGTCTTCCCGCTCCTCGTTTGTGCATATGCCACGAGCTCTTATCTCTGTATGCGCTCACCAGCTCATCGGCCAAAGAAAGAAAAAATACACATGCCTTTATGAAAGTTGCTTTGAACTGAAAATACTGAAAAGCGTCATTATTCAAGACAACAGAAGCCATGCGGCCTTCATGTCACAGATTGAAAGGCTTTATCCCACAAAATGAAAACGGCGCAGGCCTGTTCGGGGCTCCAGCTTTCACAGGGTTGCAGCGACCAAGGAAAACCCACAGTGGAAAATCCATGGGGGGAATGGTCTCCCGTCTTGGTCACGACAGGGGGGCGTGGCTGTAAGATCGAATACGTGAGAGTGACGAGTGACGAGTGAAGAGTCGAGAGTCAAGAGGAAAGTGTCGAGAATGTCCAAAGTATCAGTACTTTGTCGTCAACAGGCGTGCTCTCAGCTGTTGGGATACCCATATGCTAATTACAGCTGGCTCAATGTGTGGCTAGACCAGTTTTGCCTCCTGCACGACATCCGTCCTGCCCTCTCTTCCTCGTGCACCATTGCCGGGATTTTTGAGAAAGGCCAATATGGAGCACGACGTACTGTAAGACCACCCGCGTAAGAAAGAAACAAAAAAAAAAAACAGAGAAGCGTCTGCCACCCGGGTTTCCATGGTCTGCCGTTCTTTGCGCGTATGAAATGGCCTCACGAAACTTTATTTGTGTTTGTTGCCTCTGCCTGCCGTCTGCTGTCGTCTTTCTTGCCGTTTAGCCTCGCCTTCTCCCGCATATTGCTTGCAGGACTCCTCTTTTGTGTGTGTGTGTGTGTGTGTGTGTGTGTGTGTGTGTGTGGATGGTGGAGCTCCCCTCGTCGTCTGTTTTCAAAACGTAAATAGATAGAGCTGTCGATTTGCCTGGTTATCACGTCAGACAAGGAAACAGCGTGCATAGAAGTGGGTGTGCTTCTGTCACGGTTTGTTCTGTCTGTCCAGGAGCACAATAACAACGTGCGGACTGAGGTACTCGGACAGTGGCGAAACAAGAGGTCAAGGGTCCTTTGCGAGGCCAAATGCAGTGCATCCCCAAGACGCAAAATGCGATGCATGTATGCACGCATGAGGCAGCATTGCAAAGGCGGGCGAAGCGCCACGACAACCACCAGCAGCGGCAGCAGCTCACGTACAAGTACGACATGCAAGCAAGGGCAACAGAAGCCCGGGATCTTTTCTACGGCGTAGGACTGTGTCCGGTGCTGCGAGCAGCTGCGAGAAGCTGCGGAGAGATGCACGAGCAATGCACGAAAGCAGCACAACGATGCATCGGACGTATGAGAAGCACGAGAGTGAGATGAAGATCCAGTGAACAGATCAATTCTTTGCATCGCAAGGCAGTTGACTTGTCAACATCACCAGTCTTCGTCGTCTCTTGCCAGGTGCTGTGCAAACACGTCTGTGGCCACTCTGTATGACCCGTCTCGCCGTCTCCGTTTTCATGATCCGTCTTGATCAAAAAGGGTTAAAATGTATATATTCACTACATAAAATCACAATAAAATATTCGCCGTCTCGCCTCATCCAAGGAAAGACGTCAACTTCGACATAGCGTGCTATGGGATATCCATCCAGGCCCCCCCCCCCCCTTTTGGTCTAGTCCCCTTTGTACACACCGCTTCTTCTGCGCAGCACATCAGAGGATCAGAGAACCAACACCCAGCACACACAAGAACGATGGGCGCACAGACACGCAAGAAAAATCGCGCCTTACTCTATTTAAAGCAGCACGCCCCTTGTACTTCACACGCCCCTCCCCTCCCTTTCCAGCCGTCCCACAAAAAGAGGGAAAGCTGGAGTTGCCGGGTATTCATACATAGCTGCTAACAAGGGGACACAGCTGCAACGCGGGTCAAGCAGCGGCCGCGAAAATGCGGCCTGAAGCTGGAAATTCTGGCCTTGCAGTGCAGATGTGCTAAGTTTTGACTTACTTCACGGTTTCTTTGTTCTCATCCGCGGGAAGTTAACGACATATTTACTTTTAAAACGACGCTTCTGGATTCTCATGAAAATGGGCTGCTGTCCTCATGTTTATCGTTTGCCAACTCATTGTCCTGAGTGCTTCAACTTGTTTCTTTGCACATTGAGACAAGAGAAATCGAAAGGAGCCACACTCCGTCTAAAAACAACCCTTGTCACCTGAAAAAAAAAAAACACAAAAAAATACAAAAAAGAAATAAAGAAAGAAAAGACTCAGCATGTATCCCTGTATCTCCTTGGTGCCTTTTGTTCCGGGCTTCTCCCTTTTGGCTTGCAAAAGGGGTCACAAGAGACAGCAGAGAATGCCACAAGGAAGAAAAAGAAACGACAGAAAAAGGAGGCCGGAGTTGGGGATCCTGGAATCCCTGTTCTTTGACCGACTCTCTTTTTTTATTCTCCCCCTCTGTCTCTCCCTTGTTTGTATCTGTGCGCCAGCTGATATCAAATACTGGCAAACGCCATGCGAGCTGCTTGAAAAGGGCGCTCTCCATGAGGCTGATGTGAGTATCTCTCTGCCCACACACACCCCATTCACGTGGAACCGCGGGTGGCTGACTGGCACGACAAAGTGGACAGCCAAACACAGCCATACGCCAGCAAACAACAGAAAAACGACATCGATCATCGGATCAAGCATGGTGATCGGTTTGTCCAACAAACAGACAAACAGCTCCCTTTCTCGACTCCCTTCTCCCTTTTTTCTTATTTTTTCTTTCTCTTCTCTTCTCTTCGTCTCTCGCTCACTTGTTCTCACCGGCAGGGATCATTGAGATGTTTTTACCTAGCTCCTTTGGACAATCTGCCGTTTTGCCTCTTGCCTCGGACTGTCCCAGCCACCTTCTTTTTTTCCCTCTCAACTATCTCCACATCTCCACTCACCTTGTTCCCGCTCCACGGCGTAATACACATCGCGCCCACGTCCGTCAACAAAAAGGCTTGTGTCCTACAGGATTGTACGGACGGGGCCGAACGCACAAAACCGACGAAGAGGAAATACAAGAAAAATCTACGACATACAACATGCGTGTCCGTACAACATATTCGTACTCCAAAGGAAGAAAAATAGCTTTTGCAAAGGGCACAAGGGAATCATCTCAAACGATATCGTAAGGTGGCGTTCGTTTCGGCGCAGCCCAGTCTCTGCCGTGGTCCAGGGTCTCGTGTTTTCATTCTACCTTTCTGTTCAGCAAGCATATTTCTTCTTGCAACTTGAACCCGGGGGCTACCTAGCGGCGAGGCTTTCCCACCCCTCAGTCCTGAGTGATCTGGTCCAAAGGAGGTCAGTTGTTCTGGCTGTCTAGGCTGGCCGCCACCGCCACCTAGCCCCCCTCTCTCTTCACCCTGGTCCTGTCGAGACTCGGCAGTAGAGAGAGTGGCTCTGTCAGCCGTTTCATGGCACGCGGCCGCTACAAGCATTCTTCACAATGATTTGACAAAGGCGACAAAAAGTGGGCAAGGAAAGGGTTCTCGATGTTACCAGAACGGCAAAATCGAGGCGAGAATCAACGGCAAGGCCATCCATCTGACTATATATCTTACATGAACAAAAGCAACAGTAAACGTTCGCCACACGACATGCACTGTTCGGGAAGCCGATGGCATATGCACGATTTTGCACCAAAAACGCACTCGAATGCACCACGAATGCACCACCTAGACAAGACCCCCCCGCCACAAAAGCGCCGGCCCGCCGTACATACACATACAGCGTACAGCTTGTTGACGGGGCCAGGCTCACTGTTCACGGCGTGGGAGATCACCTGCGTCTGCAGCGTACATACATACCCGTCCTGCAGCCAGAGATCCCCCTCCCCCTCCATCCCTCACTCTTTTACCCTTCCCCCCCTCCTCCCTCGTCCCCCTTCCCCTCTTATATTCCTACTAGTTGTCACCTTTTTGCCTCCTGTCGGCAGATAATGCGCATGCTCCATGACGGACCGCAGCGCTTTCGAACAGGGCACAGGGGACCGCGGGGATGATGGGATGCAAGCAGCCCAAAATGGGCATGCATGAGTGGACGAGTGGACTTTTGCTTTCACAGAGACTTCGTTTTGGAGGTCTATCCATACATCCATCATAAACAACGCGCATGTGGCTGTTTGTAAGCGTAAATGTACATAAAATCTAACGAGCCGTAAAGTCTACATCGAACGCGAGCAGAGGCGACCCTCCACAACGGTTATGTCGTATGAAAAGGGCGACCGACGAGACCAACAGCCAGCCCTTCGCCTGGAGGTCCTGTGCTCGCTCCCATGTGGTCCCAGTCATCGACAAAACAACATCCCTCTTCACCAAGAAAAAGCCCCTGTCGTCCTCCGTCTTTACTGTCACTCCAAGGGTAACATCGTGTGAGAACGAGGGAGGAAGGGAGGACCCTTGTTGCGGTGTTTTTCCTTTTTCCCTTTTCTGTTGTTTGTCTCCTTGTCTGTACATGTACGTCAACTCGTCTTTCGTGCATACCCTTTTCCGTATGCGTTGCGTCCCGGCCCCTTTCTTCTTCTGGCAAAAGAACGACACAGGCCCTCCCCTCTGATGAGCATTCGGTCGCGGACAAAGGAGGCATGTGCCAATGGACGAAGAACGACATGATGAGTGAGGACACGGCAAAAGGCGGGAGAGAGTGAAGAAGAGTCGACGGATCAGAAGCCCGACTGGGACAGGGAACGTGAGAGGCAGGGGTCATCGGCCCCCTCCCTCCTCCTTCGTCCCTGGGCACTCTGATAGTCCTTCCTCCTTGGATGATAGGCTGATACGGTGGTTGTAAACTCGTGCTCGTCGTGTTCGTTGAGCTCATCGCGGGGGCCGGGATATGCGGCGCAGACATTTGGTGGTAAATGTATGCCGTATGTCGTACGTCTTGGCAGGACGAGAGCAACGGAAAGACTATGACTATGACTGCCCAGGAACTGCCAGAATGTGACCTGCGTTATGCATATGCGCGCCGTGGCTTCAGGGATCCGAACGGGGAACTTGGGCAAGAACAGGATGGAGATATGCACAACTCCAGAAAGAGTCGATGTGCGAAAAGAAAAGGCGATGCACCGAAACACAAACGCGCATAAGCAAAAGAACAGACACTTCTGGAAACCGAGCCCTGGCGCCGTCTGTAGATATGCGTGCAGATATAGTGCAGACATACGTGCAGACATACGTGCGTGCATGCATTTGCTTCGAGCATCGTATGGTCGTAGCCAGATGGACGGCTGGCAAGGAAAGGGGAGGGGATGGGGTCCGCCCCAGCTGGCCTGCGTAATGCTGGCAGCATGCATCCTGTACGTGATCACGGACGGCCCGCATACCAGCGGCATGTAACGACGACGGTGGCAGCACCTTTGTTCGCAGACAAGCGTGAGCGTTTGCTTGAAGCAAATTCAGGCCATCTATCCCCTTGATGTGGCCTTGGGGTCAAGGCCCAATTGCAGACTTGGTAGCCGAGCGTTAATATGAGGTGCTTTCGAAATGCAAATCTCGTTCCGTCAACGTCAACATCTTCGTCGCCTTTAGTTGAATAGTGCCTTTGGAAATACATGTTCCGGATCTCTTCTTTGCTTGATTCCGTACAACCGATGTTCAATGTGCTTTCAAATTCGTGAGACCGGAGACCAGAGACCGGAGACCAGAGACCAGAGACCAGAGACCAGAAATCAGACTCATTGTCTCCAATTTACGGCTCGACCTTAAGCTGCCATGCATCCTCATGAAAATTGGCATATGTGCCCTGGTCAGATATTTACTGTTGCTGATCGTCTATAAGTAGTTCCATAGCACAAAATTTTGGCATGGAAAGGCGGCGACCAGTGTCACATGGATGTTGGCCATCTCAGATCATCACGACAAATAAAGTGGCAACCACGTGAAACTACGTTACTACTTGGTGCAAGCAAGAACCAAAACGCTTGCAATCACAGAATAATCAGCCAGCCATTCATTGCTGGTGTCTCGTGGATCCTGCGTCATGATGGCGTACATGGCTGATCGTCGGCGGGAAGTGGACGGCCATCCGGGACGGCAACGTGACAAGAGGGCGCGCCTGGGCAAAGACTACTGATCCGCGGACAAAGCCTCGAGTAAATGTTTTGGCGGGCAGCAGGCCAGAAACAATGGTGTGCAAACAGGAGTCACGCGCTAGCCGGTGTCTCGCCATTTTCGGGGTACGGCGCCCGCCTCCCAAATCGGGGCAATGGTGGTTTGGAATCAAGCGGGACGGTCGCCACCAACCACCGAGCCAAGTGCCAAGGTCCGGAGAAAAGACGGGAAACGCCATGTGGCCCAGCGGCGGGGACAAGCCATATAAATGCAAGTCAAGGGCACGCGTTGAATGAAAGACAAGTCGTTACTCCGAATACCATTGACACGAACACCCCCAAACGAACGGCTCCATCCCATCAATTGCCCAACAATGGCCACCTTTCGAAGCGAATTCATCGAGACAGGACAGCCGGGTGTATGCATCCACGTATCGCTGTCCGAGACGACGTCGCCGGCCCCGCCCGAGTCGGCACCGACGGTCGTCTTTCTGCACTTCTGGGGAGGCTCGACGCGTACCTGGACCAGCGTGCCTGCACGCGTCGCTGCCGCCGCCGCTGGCTACCGCACGGCCAGTATCGACTTTCGGGGCTGGGGCTTGTCGACAGGCCCCGCGGATGCCGCCGCCTATTCCATCGCGCAGCTCGCCGACGACGTGGTGACCGTGCTGACCAAACTCAACCTGCAGCGCCGCCGCGTCGTGCTCGTCGGCGTGTCCATGGGGGCCAAGGTCGCGCAGGTGGTGGCCTACCGGCTGATCGCCAAGGACCCGACATCCGTCGCAGCCGTCATCCTGGCGAGTCCCGCCCCGGCCACGGCTCTCCAGCTGCCCAACGACATGCGGGAGCAGCAACTGCACGCCTACGACACGCCCGAATCGGCGTCGTTTGTGGCCCGCAACGTGCTGACGCACGCGTTCCAAGGCGCCAACGAAGGCAAGCCTTTGCCCGGCTTCGTTGTGGAGGACATGCTGCGGGGCAACCCCCCGGCCCGCGCGGCGTGGCCGGCGTACGCCATGGGCGAGGATGTGACGGCGACGTCCTTGAGCAGCCTGGCCGCGCCGCCGCCACCGGTGCTCGTGCTGGCGGCCGAAAAGGACATTGTGGAACCACTGGACCGCGTGAAGTCTAGCGTGCTGGCGTGCATCCCCGGAGCCCGGCTTGAGGTGGTAGCCGGGGCAGGCCACTTGTCGTCCATTGATGCTCCAGACGCAGTGGCCGACGCCATCGTTCGGTTTGTAAACACGGCAACGAGGCAAACTGCGGTCTGACAAGGGCATATAGCATGAGGGCGATGGTGGCATTTGACGTCTTTTTAACAATGCATGTAAAAGAAGCAAGTGGACAGCTCAAACACACATCCCTGCAAGATGAGTAGAGAATCATTGTACCACACAAATCAAGCATTCCATTATTCGACAACGCTCTGGCACGCATCCATATAGACATCACCGACTGGCTGCTCGGCCGCGGCAACATCTGGTCGATGCGGATGACTGTTGCGCTTGATATATGGTGCGTGTGTACGGCTGGGATTCGGTAGTGCAGAGTCACGGCCGTCTGGCCGACGCCAACATAGACCGGGATGGGGTCCATTTCGAGACATTCGGACTCGGGCACGGACACACTTTCGTGGCCCGGCTGCCGGCGCAGCAGATCTTAGTGACCTCGCTGGCATCATCGCCGAACACGCTTGAGCCCTGTGCCGGTGCGGCACAATCCAAAATCACATCCATGGCCGGATCGCATCATAGAGCTCGTCTGCGCATCCTTCTTGTGTAATAAGATGGACCGTGGCTAAGCACTATGAAAACAACGTCCAGTCTAAAAACACCGGCAAGCTTCGTCATGCTGCCGTACGTAGAGATCTTGTGAGCCAGAAGGCGAGCTGGTCGTTGCACACGGAGCTGATGAAGTCGCCGTCGGGCGATGCCACCGGTACCGATACATCGCCTCGTCTCCGAGAGGATGGACCATGATGATTGTTTGTTGAAGCGGCACATGCCATGCCACTTCCTTGGAACATTAAGCAAAACCACTACGAAAGCAGCTCTCTTTCGCTCTTTGAAATTATCCCAAAATTATCTCCTCGACTACAACGTCTTTTTTGTCATGGCAAGAGGGTCTGAAAAGAGTAAGATCACAAGGCTTGCAGCGTATTTATTGCATACTCTGCGTATCAAGTCACGACAAACCGGGTGACAGGAAAGCAGAGACCGACGGCGACGACGGATGACCGACGGCGACGACGGATGACCGACGGCGACGACGGATGACCGACGGCGACGACGGATGACCGACGGCGACGACGGATGACCGACGGCGACGACGGATGACCGACGGCGACGACGGATGACCGACGGCGGAGAGGACGCCACATCGAGGGGTCCGTTCAACAGCCAAGGCCATGAGATGCGTGCAGACGAACAACGTCCGCGTCAGTACACCTTGCCATTTTGCGCATGTGCTCGTGTTCTTTTCCAGATTGTCCCTGCATCGATCATCGGCGACGACTGCAACTAGTAATTCCCTGCAGCACACACAGGGTCGTGCATGTTGCCTTCGTCGTATTGTTTCTCGACGGGGGCTCGGTTTTAGCTTCGATCTCCGGTGTCTTGCCTTGTCTCAGTTTCTTTCGTTCATTGTTTCCTCCATCCCGCGCCAGCAAACGCGCTCCCCCGTCTCCCTTTTTGGTCTTCTCGCCCTTTCTGATTTACGCGGCCTGTCTCGCGCCTGCATTAGTGACTTCCCAGCTGTTGAAGACGCCCTGCGCCGTGGTATCTGCAGTAGTTTTAACGAGTTTACAGTGTGCCTCGTTATGTGCACCACTGCCTCACGAGGATCGCACATGCTTTCTTTTTGAGGCTGTACTTTGCACGTTTGATGCTTGGTTCGGAATGTGCTGTGCAGCGAGATCCGCGTTTAGGAGTTTGGGAGAGGTGTCTAGCCACATCGTATGTTCTCGACGACGTGTCACGTACGTAGTCTGTGCCATGGCTCAACGTCTTCTCGTTTTTCCGCGTCTCGCATCTCAAGGCGGCGACGCCATATTTGTTTCGTCGTGTTCGTGTGTTCGTGTGTTCGTGTCTTCATGTATTTGCGGAAGCTACGTTGTATGGAAGCGGCAAGCCGCCCACGGGGCGAGAACAAAACCTGCATTCCTTACCCAGCGGGCGAGGCGAGGTGCTGCAGATGTCCATGTTCGGTTGGGCTGCTATGCTTCGTTGTACGAACATATATTAACTTTGTACACTCGGAAGGAAAAGAAGGGCAGAAAAACAAGGTATTGTGAGAAAAACAAACTCGCATCAACGACAAACCTGCACACATAAAAAAAAAGTAAAACGCCGCTGATGTGAGTTGGGATCGTTATAATCAAGGCGGCAACGATATGAATGACGAAAGCAAACAATACATTGGGACAACTTGCAACTGGTCGTCCCTGGACGGAAAACATTCTATTTACGTACGGGGTTCGCAACTTGATGCACTTTAGCCTGCGAACTTGTTGGCAACTTCCAGCAGATCGCAACCAAGATCTTGCAAAAACCAATGTGGAGCGGTTGCTATTCGTGTGTTTGTGTTCAAATGCAATGCTGGAACGCTGGCCATCATCCGCCCTGCGTTGTTCGTCTCGTCGATCTCGAGATTGCCTTGAAAAAATTTAAAGTAATATCAACCTCCCTTATCGGCTGGTGTTTTTTTCCTTGATCCGCTCCCGCTTCCGCGTCTCGTCTATCTACTTTCTCGGTTCATCTTTTCCTTTCCAGCCATCCCGTTACGTTCGTGACATTGTCTCCCGCGCCCGGGTCAGAATGATCGAATTCAGACTCTCGGCTTGCCGTCAATCAAGATATTACGGGAGGTACGAGTTCAACAACGAAAGACATGCGAAGAGTGCACAAGGAGAGCGAGAATTTAAGACCATGGACAAGGCGACGCGTGCAGGAACTCGCAACGGCTGTCCGCATGCAAAACATGCAGGCTGTCGCCGACGTCTTTGCCACTTATCGTATTGTTCCCTAACGATCTCACGAAAATGCACATTAACGGAAGAAAACGACCATGTTGTGATGCCCTCATAAAGGCAACAAAAGCAAAAGGTGGGTTACTTCAACAGTCAATCATTCCTTTGGCTTCCACAAGTTTATTTTTATCCGCTCATCTGCCACCTTGGAAAGGAAAAAGGAAGATCAGGTCGATCACCACAAGAAACACTGTGTCTGAGTGTGGCTGCCTTGCTGGCCGGCTGGGATCTGAGATGAGCAGATCACTGCACGTTTATCATTTCGTCACCTCTCGCTGGTCAGTCTCGTAACTTAAAGCAACCAACGCCTTGGAGTTGTAAATTAAAGATAGACCAGATGCGACGTATACAACATCAAGTTTGGACTTCGTTAACGGAAGAATCTGCCCAGGCTTGTCCCTCCTGACATACCGAAATAGTGTCAATATCTCGCGTGGCAATGCCCCTGTGCGTGCCACCAGCGCAGCCGCGATTTGGCGAGTGAGACACGCAGACTGTCAATAGCCATAATGCTAAGAGAACACAACAGGGAAGCGACCGAAAGGCCTAGAGCACAGTTCAGACAGCGAGAGCCAAGTCGTCGGCCGTCAGCCGCAAGATTGGTCGCATTCCCTCTCTTGCTCTCTGAATAGCAGGCAACCGTCAGCCGTCAGCTGTCAGCCATTTGATTCATAATTCCCAATCGGGCAAATGCACAATTGCTCAATGCGTGGTTCCGCGCCTTGGCCAGAGGTCGACCACGAAATTACACAGCCAATGCCCTTTCATGACGGCTCAATTTACGTGGCGGGTGGAGAGGGGCACTTTATTAGGTAGTAGGACCCTCTCAAAGGACCTCCTTTGGGTTCACGGACGAGAACAAAGAAACAATACGGGGCAAGGTCTTAGCCGCTGGGCTTGAGTTTCGTTCCTTTCCACAGAAAAAGGACGATGTACATTCGTAGAGTGGCAAAGGGTTGCAAAGGTCGCGGAAGCAAAGGTGGAGTCCAGGGTCGCAAAAGAGGATGGGGACCCTTGTAGACCCACACTGTGTTGTTCTTGCCTTTTGACGCTCGATGGCAACGGTTGAATGTAAATTGTGTACTTCTATGGGTCACCAAAATGCGTTGAAATCACATGTACCTGGGGCTGCGCAACGCCCGTGCTCCATGCTCCGTATGGATTCTGCGTCCCTCCCCCCGACGATTACTGTGCACTGGGGGTTGTTTCGCTAAAAATGTCGAGACCTGGCACTCAATTTGACTGGCATCCTCAGCAACTGCTGCCCAGCGCGTTTCTGTCTTTCTGTCTGGCTGGCCAGACCTTCGATGCCCTGTATTTCCTCCACCCGCCGTTTCCTTTTCTCGCCTTACCCCTGGCCTAGGCCTAGTCTGTTTCTTACCATGCGCTAAAAACGACTTTTCGTCGTGGCCCCTGGTGCGCGGTTTCCCCCTTTGTGCTGCTCTGCAAGTCGTTCCTTCTCTTTAACGTCGCCACCATCGACCATCGACGGTCGCACTCACTAAAAGCGGCTCGCATGGTGGAATCCGCATTTAGGCCGTCGCGTGTCGTGTCTTTGTGCCTTTGTGACCCCAACCGACATCGCGAGTTTCCAACGCAGTTTCCTCCCTTTTGCTGCAATCCTATCATCGCGTTCGTTTCCTGCTACATGTAGCCTTTATTGATCCTTGGGTGCACTGCGCTGGACTGCAACGCAAACCCCTGTCCGGTCACAGCGCCCAGAGATGTTCCTGGCCTGTCGTGACCCCTGTGTGGTCCACCGAAATATGCTCATCTGCATGCGTTTCTCGCTCTTGGTCGCTCCAAGGACAACAAAGTCTTGCTGAATTGCAAATACACTGTAGAAACCCAGTCTTCTTCAGTGCATTTCCCTCTTCGTCACGCCTTCCGCTTCTGTTCCTACCGTTCTTTCCTCTTTTTGCTCCCTTCCGTACTTTTGTTCCCCTCGCACTTGCCCGCCCACGCCCCTCTTTTCACCTCATCCACCTCTTTACTACTCCATACACGCCCCATCCCTAGCGTCTGCTGTCCCTCCTTCCCTCTTTCTGCCTTTGTCGTCCCTGTCTCGCCATCGACTTTCGCATCTGGCCCACACCCTCCTTCCCCATCGTAATTCTTCAGAGGATCCTCTTTCCCTCATTTCGCCCATCCTCCTTTTCTGTCCAACGACCGGTCGTCTCACCTTTTCCTCTTCCCTCTCTTTTTCCACAGGAAACAAAACAAAGGCGCACATCACCACCAGACCTTTGTTCTTCACCCTCTCTTTCTGTTGGAATCAAACCCATTTACGTCTTTGATGATCGTGATGGGCTTTTGACAACATTCCCGCTTCCGTCCAACACACACCCGCCTCTTCTTTCTCTTCTTCTTCCAACACCCCCTTTTCCTTCGTCCGCCATTTGTTCATCTGAGCTAGTCTCGCCTTCCACTCGTTCGTTTCTTTGCTCCCGCTGCTTTGCGGTCTTCACTCGCTCGATTTCTTTTTATTCCGTCGCTTCGAAGCCTCGTCTTCACGTCTTTTCGCTTATCACGTCTTGCCTTTCGAACCGCCTTTCAGTTTTCACATACGCGTCCCTCTCGTTTTCTACGCCATCGCGTCAACGTCTTCTTCATCTTCACGATTGCATATGAATACTGCGCCTCCTTCTGTA